TAATGCCCCAGGCAGGACTGGTTTGCATCCTGCTCTCTGCCTGTCTCCTCTCTCCAGGACCCGTCCATTTATTTGCCTTCTTGTCTGGCCTTGAAGGGGAAAGGGGATTCCCGACTTATGGAATGGCAGGCACAGGGGCCCAAGGAGTGGCATGCCCTACTCTTCAGAGAACTGTGTGTGGTCTGCTGTGGCTGGGGTCGGGGCGGCTGGGTGAGGGACATGCTAGAACCTAGAAAGGCAGGTTAGGGCTAACTTACGAGGGATGGTTTGAGCCATGTCACTGACCCCTAGGCTTTAGGCAATAGAGAGACATGGAAAGTTTTTCAGCTGGTGAATAACATAATCAAATCTACATTTTATTTTATTTTATTTTATTTTATTTTATTTTTTATTTTCTTTTTCATGCCATCCTCCAAGGTACATCAAATTTAAAAGAGTAGTTACTGATTTATAATCCCAGGGAGAATTGGTGTGGCCCCTCAGAATCAAGCAGTCACAGTTTTCTCAATTTGAAGAAAAAATAAGGTTATTTTCTCAATTGTTGGTTTTTTGTCTATAAAATGTCTTTAAACATTTGGTGTCTGCTAGCAAGTGTCAGCAATCAATAAGACAGTGGAAAGGATGTAAGTTAAAGGAATAGGCTGGGCCCAGTGGCTCATACTTTTAATCCTGGCACTTTAGGAGGCTGAAGCAGGTGGATTTCTTGAGCTCAGGAGTTCGAGACTAGCCTGGGCAACATAGTGAAACCTTGTCTCTACAGAAAATACAAAAATTAGCCAGGCGTGGTGACATGAGCTAGTACTCCCAGCTACTCTGGAGGCTGAAGTGGGAGGATCACTTGAACCCAGGTGGTGGAGGTTGCAGTGAGCCAAGATCATGCCACTGCACTCCAGCCTAAGCAAAAGAGTGAGACTCTGTCTCAAAAAAAAAAGAAAAAGTAATAGAAAAATTCAGAAATTTAAAATTCTTTTAAATACATGAGTCCGTTGAGCTCTGTACAGATAATAGTGTGTTCTGCTAGTAAAATGATTTCTAACTCATATATATAGTATTTTATGGTGCTATTCAAAGAGAACCATGACTCGCAGGAGCCCATTGTGTGAACATGTTTGAAATGTTTTTTTTTTTTTTTTTTTTTTGAGACAGAGTCTCGCTCTGTCGCCCAGGCTGGAGTGCGGTGGTGCAATCTCGGCTTACTGCAAGCTCCGCCTCCCAGGTTCACGCCATTCTCCTGCTTCAGCCTCCCGAGTAGCTGGGACTACAGGCGCCCACCACCATGCCCAGCTAATTTTTGTATTTTTAGTAGAGACGGGGTTTCACCGTGTTAGCCAGGATGGTCTCAATCTCCTGACCTCGTGATCCGCCCGTCTCAGCCTCCCAAAGTGCTGGGATTACAGGTGTGAGCTACCGCGCCCAGCCTGAAATGTTTTAAAAGCACACTCTACTGCTACATAGGGAATGGGGTTAAATGGGACAACCAAAGGCAATGGCAGCAGTAAGTGGCTATTGCAGTGATAGGAGCAGATGATGAGAACCAGAACCAAGATGGTGGCAATGGGTTGGAAAAAAAGGAGAGAGCCAAATAATGTTTATGAAGCAAATGAAAGACCTTAGTGTCCATTTGGACATGAATGGTAAAAAAAAAAAAGGAGCTTCAAGAATGAGTCTAGCTTGTCTAGATGGGTAGATGGCTAGAGGTGCTATTAATCAAAACAGAGGAGAGCAGGGCTGGGTTGATGGAATAAGGGAGGCAGAGCTGTTTTGAATATGTTGAGGGTGACCTGAGAAGGCTGCCGAGCTCCCAGAAGGAGCAGTCCAGTTGTTGGCTGGAATGTTCAGTACACATGGGTGTATTGCCTGGACACAAGGGTGACCTCATTTATAAAATGACACCGCAAATAACATGAGCTAGCCCAGAAAGAGTGTGAAGAGAGAAGAGAGAACAAGATGAAGCAGAATCCTGGGGAAGATCAAGATTTAAGTGTTAGCCGGGCAAGAGGAACTAGGGGAAGATATTGAGAGAGAATCTTCAAAGAGAGGGAAAATATCAAGAAACTGGCCTGTTATAAGAGCCATAAGTCACATTTCAGTTCAGAGGGACCAATCATCACCTCTGAAGTTCCAGAGAGATAAGCTAGACCATAGCTTCTCAGTGCTGTTGGTTTGATTGATTTTATTAGCTTATTGGTTTGACAATTAAAATAACAAGAGGGATCTGAGGGCAAGGGTTGTGAATTTGGGTGCATGGCAATAAATGAGATTAATGGGACACTAGTAAGAAGTAGTGGGGACTGTGGCAAACTAAAAAGTATATGCTTACCTAAGAAGGCACCATCATCAACTCTCATGGATTGTTGCCAAGCAGGAACGTGGGCACAGTGATCAGAACATCTGACTTTTCAAGAAAAGTCAGAGATCTGGATTTCTGTATGAAATCTTACAATTCTTTTTTTTTTTTTTTTTTTGAGACGGAGTCTCACCCTGTCGCCCAGGTTGGAGTGCAGTGGCGCGATCTTGGCTCACTGCAAGCTCCGCCTCCTGGGTTCACGCCATTCTCCTGCCTCAGCCTCCTGAGTAGCTGGGACTACAGGCGCCCGCCACCGCGCCTGACTAATTTTTTGTATTTTTAGTAGAGACGGGGTTTCACTGTGGTCTCGATCTCCTGACCTTGTGATCCGCCCGCCTCGGCCTCCCAAAGTGCTGGGATTACAGGCGTGAGCCACCGCGCCCGGCGAAATCTTACAATTCTTTATTTTAGCAATACTTTTAAAAACTTTCATGCTCTGCGAGGCCTGAATTAAACACACCTTTGAACTGTCAGTTTGAAACCTCTGCCTTTGTCAATGTCCTTAGCGCGGTGGGGGCTGCGCCAGTGACAGCAGGCCAAGTAGTGGTTGGGCAAGGAGGAGATGGAGACCATGAGCACAGACCACTACTTTAGGAAGTGTGGGTAAAAGAAAGGAGAAAGCAAGCAGGAGAGCTAAGGAGACAGGCAGGGTCGGGGAGGCTGTCTTGGGTCAGAAGAGCTGTTTCTAGGCTGAGAGAAAGAGGGTGGAGAGAGGGAAGTTGAAGAAAGACTAGATGATGAAATAAGGATCGGAAAGAGTCGAGGGGTTGGAAGAAAGGATGTTGATGGATTTCGTGCCTGGAGGCCTTTATTTTCTTGGTGAAGTGGGGTAGAAGATGAATCAAGAAGCTTGAAGAGAGGAGCAAAGGTTAGGGACAGCCTCAAGGGACACAGGAAGGGTGCTGACAAGGATGCATGGAAGGTTGCTGCACTTGAGACCTGCTGAGGGGAAACCCTTACAGTGGGTCTTATGGGCCTGGGTGTGGGTGTTGGTGGTGAGGGGCTAAGCACCTCTTACCTTCCAAGCCCTGTGTCAGGCATTTCATTCTCTTACCTGATGTATTCCTCCCAGCAGTCCTGCTCACTCAACTGAGTTCACTCGTGAATAAGTGGCAGCCCCGAGAATCACACCTTTGTCTGGCTGGATTGGAAGTCCATTTGGTTCCACCACACTACCACTCCGTGCTGCCATCCCCACCCCACCTGCCCCCCCGCCCAAGCCCTCAGACACATCTGCAGAGGAGACTGGGCCAGTGAATTCTTGTCTGGGCATTGCCTGGCTAGTTTTATTGGGAAGTCAAAGGGGGAAGAATGGAGGATGTGATGAAGAAAAGAGTAGAGGTCCATGAAGAAATAAGTGAGAACAGAAGGGAATGATGAACTGAGGAAAGAAGCTGGAGGAAGGCAAGACCTGATGAGGCCTAGGAGACAGTGAATGAGAGATTGCATCGTGACAAGGCAGTGGGGTTGGTGAGGAGGGACTGCGTTCCTAAAAATTTCAATATGAGGGTAAAGATGAGGGGAAAGGAGGTGAGTTAAGGATGACTCCAAGCTGTCTAGCCTGTGCAGTGGGGTGGGCAGGGATGCCTTTAGTCACAGCATTGGTCACCACTTTGACATCATGCCATCTCTCTATCCCTTGCTCACGTGCTAAACCACACTCACCAGCACTTTTCCACCACAGGGTGCCTGGAACATGCAGAGCACTCTTCCTCCAGATCTGCAGAGTGGCTCGTTCTCATTTTTCAAGTCACAGCTTCAGTGTCCCCTCCTCAGAGAGACCTTTTGAGACCATGATATCTACTGTAGGTCCCCTGGTCATTTTGTTTATTTTAGACAACTTATTGAAATGGTCATTTATGGATTTGTTGACTTGTTTATTATCTGTCTCTGTCACTAGAGCACGTGCTTAAGAGAGCAAGGACACATACTCTTCATAGCTTTATTTTCCAATACCTAGAATAATGATTGGCACATAGTAGGCATTCACGAGAGAGAGAGAGAAATGAAGAGAAGGAAGGAAGGAAAAGAAAGAAAAAGAGAGAAAGAACACAGGTGAAATGTGTTTGGGAGAAGGATGTTGAGTTTTGAGGTACCTGGGAGACACCGAGGAAGTGACTTCCAATGGGCAGTTGGAAAGCAGGCTGGAGGCTCAGGAAATGGACTGCCACCTTGCCCAGGAAGAAAGTGGGCCCACATGGTACAAGGGTGTGCAAGCTGTCCTTTTGCATGGCTGACTGCCTTTTCAAGACCAGTGTTGGGAGTTGGCTGGTATGGGGCCCGGCGGGAAGAAGAACCCCTCTGGTGGTAAGCTGAAGTTGGATCAGAGTGCTTCTCACTTCTCTCTTTAGTTCTGTTCCTGGTTCTTGCTGCTGCCCTGGCTTCGACCATTTCCCATCATTCTTCACTGCCAGCTACAAGACCCAGGATCTGAATGCAGACTAAATATTTTCATCCTTTTATCTTAAAGAGTATCTCGCCCACCTCTGATTCATGGTGACAGGAGTCCAGCTTCACCCAGGAGCTGGACTTAGTTTTACAGAATTAGAAAATGCTTTTCCCTTGTGCTTGCCTCCTACTCCATTTCTGCTGGCCTTGTGGTCCTCCTTCCTTCCATGGGACACTCAGCAGACCTGCTGTCCCTCTTTTGCAGGGTCCCCAGCTGCTGAGCAGCTCCAGGACATCCTGGGGGAGGAAGATGAGGCTCCCAACCCCACCCTCTTCACAGAGATGGACACTCTGCAGCATGACGGAGACCAGATGGAGTGGAAGGAGTCAGCCAGGTAAGGTGGGGCCCCATGAGGCAGGTGGGCACTTCAGTCTTGCACAGCCTGGGCTTGCCTGACCCTCCTAGAGGGAAGGGGCGCCTTGTACCTTGAGAGCTTCCTGGTCCACAAAGACCTTCCCACCTGCCTTCCTTGGTGTCCAGAAGTAAGGAGCAAACAGAACCTTATGACTTTCTCTTCATCCTCAAAGAAATTAAAGTTCAAGCAGGAAGACAGAACAGTCACCCATGAAACTCTGAGAGTAATACAAAGGCATATACCATTGTCCCTCCGTATCCATAGGGCATTGATTCCAGGACCCCCTGCTGATGCCAAAATCCACATATATTCAAGTCTCCCAGTTGGCCCTGTGGAACTGCCTATATGAAACATTGGCCCATATATGCAGGTTTTGCATCCCATGAATACTGTGTTTTTGACCCCATTTGGTTGAAGAAAACCTGTGTGTAAGTGGGCCCATGCAGTTCAAAACCCATGTTGTTCAGGGGTCAACTGCATTCTTGTCATCGTCGTTGTCGTTTTTCCAGAGATGGGGTCTCATTCTGTCACCCAGGCTTCAGTGCAGTAGGGTAATCATAGCTTACTGCACACAGGCTCAAACTCCTGGGCTCAAGCGATCCTCCTGCTTCAACCTCCCAAGTAGCTGGTACTTTGGGCACATGCCACTGCATCCAGCTAATTATTTTTATTTTTTGTAGCAATGAGGTCTCACTTTTTTTACCCAGGACGTTCTTTAATATAAAATGGTTCAAGCTAAATGCTATAAAAGGGAAAGTACCAAGCAGGCTGGGGTAGACAGTGAGGGCTTCCTGGAGGAAGGAGAAGGTGTGCCAGGCACATCGAGTCTGAATGGTGGGAAAAAATCCAAATGGAGAGGGCTAGTGGGGCACCGAAGAAAAGGGAACTGGCAGAGTTTGGGGCTGCAGAGTTGGAGCCATGGAGCAAAGCATGGGAAACAGAGAGCTCTCCATATATAGGGAGAGCAGAAGCTGGAGGGGAGCCACACGGAGAAGCCACAGGAGGCAAGGGAAGGGCAGGGTAAGAGTGGTTGGCACTGCTCATATCCCCAGTGCATGGGACAAAGGGGCCTTGGGACTTAACTGGACTATTCAGCAGTGCCCAATGCTCCCAAGAGCCCAAGGGGAAGGAAAGCTATGGGAAGAGGCAGCAGGTAGGACCTTCGGACAGGAAGACAGACTGTGCCGATGTTTCTCCACCTTCTTTACATGATGCCACTCTGTCCCCAGGAGAAGAATTTAATTTGATTTAAATCAACTTTATTAAATTAAAATTTAATTTCTTTCATTAGAAATAAAGAATAAGAGCTAGGCACGGTGGCTCATGCCTATAATCCCAACAACACTTTGAGAGGCCAAGACAGGGAGATTGCTTGAGCCCACGAGTTCAAGATCAGCCTGGGCAACATAGGAAGACCTTATCTCTACAAAAAAAAAAAAATCAAAATAGAAAATTAGGTAGGCATGGTGGCACACACCTGTAGTCTCAGCTACTCGAAAAGATGAGGTGGGAGATCACTTGAGCCAGGGGAAGTTGAGGCTGCAGTGAGCCATGATTGTGCTATTGCACTCCAACTTGGGCAACAGAGTGAGACTCTATCTCAAAAAAAAAAAAAAAAGGAATAAGATTTGTCAGGCTGAGTGTAGCTGTAGAGTACCACAAGCCATTGTAATATCTAAAATATTTTCACTCCTCCAAGAACCAGTTTTTGCCTCCTTGGGGGCAATTATGCCCAAGTTGAGAGTGCATGGACTCAACTATGCCCAGGTCTGACTCTGCATGGGGCCCACCGTGACAGCCAGAGCCTGAGCTGTCCACAACCACAGCCTGGGCTCTTCCCTCGCTCATCTCCATCACTAGCCTGGGTAGTTGCTGTGTAGAGCCAGAAGGCACAGGTTTGGACACCCCAGGTTTTCCCCACTCCAGGTACCCTGCAGGGGTATCTGGAAGAAAGGCCACTAGGTGGACTAGCAAATAAATCCCTGTGGGCCTCAGAGAGGAACAAATCCCCAGCCCCACTGCTGGGCCTGGTCCCTGTGTGGAAGCCATTGAATTTCTTCCTATGATCCAATTCTTTGAACACTTACTGTGTTGATCGATTCACAGGCTTGTCTCTTGCAAGTTGCACAGTGACCCTGAGTGGGCGAAACTTTCATTATCCCTGTTTTATAGATAGGAAACTGAGGTGAAGGGGAACAAGTAGCTCACCAGGGTTCAGAGCATGTAGGTAGCTGAATATGGATTCCAGTCCAGGTCTCTCTGACTCCCCACTTGAGGGATAATGGACTTTGTCTTCCCTTCATCATTTTCTCAGCCCTTTCTCTTTCTGTCTCTAACTTCCAGTGACTGTTTTGACTTCCAGGGGAGGACATAGGTCTGGAAGCAATTCTGTTGGGGTCAGAGATACATGGGGAGAGCTGCAGAGCCCAGGATGCCTATCCAAGATTGACAGGGAAGGGGGACGTTTCAAATGACCAAGACCCACCCTGGGCTATTATATCTTAACACCTCTGAGGGGCCAGGGCCTGAAGCCACTGCCTGCCCTGAACGAGGGCCTCTCCTGCCCAGGGTGGGCAAATAGAGAGAAGGAAAGCTGGGCAGGGTCTTCTCAGAGGCCCAGGAAGGAGAGGTTGCCTTCTCCACACCCTGGACAGAGTCTGCATCCAGAACTCCTAGCCATGGTTGCCAGGACCAGACCCTCCACAAGGGCCTATCACACACACCCATGGAGCCCTTGCCAAGAGGGCCTTATGGCCCCCAGAGACCTGACTATTGCCAAAGGCAAAACACATTGTCTCTATTCTCTCAGAGTATGGATTCACAAAGCCCTCTGCACTCCAGACCCAGTGATGGAACCGAGAAACTGTACATGAGGCTGTTTCTAGAAGGGGTCTTCTCTTAAAACGTTAAGGGGTCTGGCAGTTGCCATCTGCAAAGTGGTGGGTTTCCCTGCAAAGCAGGCTTTCTGAAGATGGCACCTGAGGAGGTCCTGGAAGAAGGGCCATCCGGACCTCAGGATAGCCTGGCTCCAACCAGCAGTGAAAAGAAAGTAATGACTAGAAGTTAAAGTGGCTGAACCCAATTCTAGGCAGATCCTAAAGAGGAGTAGCTTGAAGGCCAGCTTGGGGACAGGAAAATGTGAGAGAAGAGTAGCTGCTTTCTCGACTTCTGCTCCACCCTCTTCTACTCTCTACAGCTAACCCCATCTGGTTTCCAGATAACTGTCCAAGGTATGACCAGCAAGCCCCTAGTGAAGTCCGAAGAAGGGTTTGACTGTTGGCCAAGAAGCCCACCATGGCCTGATCAGTTTTTCTGGGTCCTCCTCCAGGCAAACTACAAGGTTAGAGGTGCCTGGGTCAGAGCTATTTGAGGCCTGTCACCCCCACAAAAAAAGAGAAAGCAGTTTCCTCAGTTGACAGGCCAGTGGAGCTACTCAGGGAAGCTAGAGATGTCAGATGTTTCGAGAATCTAAGAATCAGCAAATCATAATGGATTCTGGCCTTCTTAGAGTAACAGGAGAAAATGATGGGGAGTAGGGGATAGCCCCTCACACAGACACTCAGGCTCCAAGAGGGTTATGGATCCACAATACCCATGTCAAAGAGAATCGGGGAGGGGACCTTTTAATAAAAGTATTTAATTTGCTGCAGGGAGTGTTTGCTTTATTGAGTTAAGAGATTAACAGAGTGAAAATCTCAAATCCGCAAGGAATTTTCCCTGGCGGTGCTTTGTCAGGAGTTATTAGTTTGGGGGATGTTTCAGGCCCTTGGAGGAGTCACTCCTGGAGGGATTTAAATGGCTTTTTGAGCTCTGCTGAGCCTTGTGCCATGCACATAATGGGGACTGTGTGTGCAGCGTCATTTCTAATGTGATCAATGCTGGTAGGTCAGGCTGTTAATAAGATAGATTTTTATTAACTCTGTCTCTAGCATTCACATGAGGGAAATGCAGCTGGCTGTTTGCTGATAATGACCTTGCCTGCAGGAAGGGCTGGATCAGATTGGGTGGGGGTGACCATCTGACTGTGAGCAAACTATTTACCCAGAATTCCATCCTCTCTCATGCCCACCCCTGCCGGACTGCAAGTGGAGGGCTGGGAAGGAGAATGACCTGAATTGGAGCCCACCCAAGTGTGGAGGGCCCTTTGGGGTTACTTAGAAATAACCAGAACTTAGCACCTCCCAAGAGCCATGAAAGCAAATTCCAAATCCAAGCTGCCTCTGGTCTCAACTCAGAGCAGACTACAAACACGAACTTGCCAGAAGATTCTTATGAGACACATGCTCTGAGAACATTACTGCAATGACCGGGAAGGGGCAGGAGAAGTGGGTCAGTTGTTGGGTCAGACCAGATCAGTACGTTTTCAAAAGCCCTGAATGGTTCTATGCACATAGGCAGGGATGCTTTCTCACTCCATGCAGGATGGAGAAAGCCGAGCTTTCTGTGTCAACCCTGAAATCACACTCATTAAGATCCTCTGTAGTCCAGGCATGGTGGCTCATGCCTGTAATCCCAGCACTTTGGGAGGCTGAAGCGGGTGGATCACCTGAGGTCAGGAGTTCAAGACCAGCCTGGCCAATATGATGAAACTCCATCTTTACTAAAATTACAAAAAAATTAGCCAGGCATGCTGGTGGGCGCTTGTAATCCCAGCTACTCAGGAGGCTGAGTCAGGAGAATTGCTTGAACCTGGGAGGCAGAGGTTGCAGGGAGCCAAGATCGTGCCATTGCACTCCAGCCTGGGCAACAAGAGTGAAACTCTGTCTCAAAAAAAAAAAAAAAAAAAAAAATCCTGTATAATGCCCTCTTAACATCATTTCCCATCTTAGTGTGGGGCAGTAGGCATCCCCAGACTTCTGGTTTCACCACCCATCTGGAATCAACCTTCCAGTGGAGCCAGAGCTGCCCACCCAATTTAAAGGAGAGTAGGAAGCTGAGAGCTCCAAATGCAGAAATCAACAAACTTGGTTCATTCATTC